CTTTCTCAGAAAAGAGCAGCATCTGACCAGATTAGTGCCAGTGCTCGCCTTGTGACGGGCTGCTCCCAAATTGATCCTTTGATCCCCCGTCATCCAATTTACATATATCAGCAATAGGCGATTCCATCATCCAATTTTCTTGATTCAACATAGTGCTTCTTTCTCACGGATTATTATTTGTGCTGACTGGCCTACCTGTATCGCTACGCCTCGAATTCGAACATATTCAAACAACATACAGGAATGTCTGTGCATATCATTGCGGCGCAATGCTTTTTCAGGGGACTTCTGTTCGATCACTTCCAAATACTTTTCAACTACTATTCGAATTTGGTCCTTTTAGACAATTCCGGCTCACATTCTACAGGAGCGCCCCGGCAAATGATCCTGTATCTATCCATCGCCCTTCAGGCCACAAGGAATGTTTTATTGATATGTTAGTCTACTCGTGCAATATGTAACCTTTCCACTGCACCTCCACTCAGTACTGGTCGCCATTCCAAAGGAGGGTAGGCTTCTTCATGCACTCGACCGTAATCGAGACTTATCGGGAAAGTGTCTACGCCAAGGAAGAGAATGTCACGTCAAAATCGGCTTCGAGCTATACTCTACCTCCCTCGTTCTTCTCGCACAGTTCTCAGTCTACTACTAAATTCTCGGATTCTACTATTTCATTTGGTGATCTCTAGTGAGAGTGCTCAGTTGTCTCTAGTGGTTTCCATGAGGTTCAGCCAGTCTGCCAAGTGATTGTTTGTGAATGATGTTGATCACTCGGAGCGCATTCTTGATTTTCTTGAAACTGAATGCTTTTCCTTGATCGTCTATATGGGACGAGTTACTTCACGTTTTAACATCTTCTCAAAAAGATGCTGCCTTCTACTTTCAATGGGAATCAAATATCACCGTGCACACCGCTCAAAGCCCTTTCTACCCCGAAGATATATATCAGACCATCCCTAACTCGGGAGAAGAGGAGTAGAGCTCGCGCTAAGCGGATAGCACGGTGAGTCACTTAGTCGTCCAAGTATGCTCTACACTCACACAAGTTACTTTTCAATCAATGGTCGCCGAGCTAGGAATGTGTTTTCTAAGCATTCATGCTCTACTTGTGAACCAGTCTGACTCCAAATTTGTGAACACTCGTCCCAAATAGCACCGTCGCTTGGGCTGCGTTCATACCGTGCGACGAGTCGTCAATGTCGACGTAACCGACGTTTTCGACGACTAGCTCGCGAAGATTTCAAGACCATTTTCACTTTAAATCGGACACTTTTCAAACCAAATCGGACACTTTTCAAATCAAATCGGACACTTTTCAAACCAAATCGGACACTTTTCAAATCAAATCGGACACTTTTCAAACCAAATCGGACACTTTTCAAATCAAATCGGACACTTTTCAAACCAAATCGGACACTTTTCAAACCAAATCGGACACACCCCTTACAATTAACTGGTTGATAACTAGACCTTACTAGGTTTACTGTTGCAAGCCCCGCCCCATCATCCCCGCCCACTTCTCAGCGCGGACAGGGTTTTCGAGATGCTTCATGAAGTCTGCTCCCTCGACTTTTTTTCGTTTTTGCCCTTTGCACGCGCACTTCAACTGAAAAATATTGATACCTATACAGGATTGACTCCGCCCACTTAACAATCAAGTAAGTTCTGCATTTTTATAACTTTTTTCGACGTAGTTCTTTTCACATCTAATCTTCACAAAACGAATAACCATGCACAGCACCCCAGGCTCGCCCCTCTGGCCCCGCCCACTTGTGTTTATCGCGGAATTTTAGGTTTTCTTCCGGATTTTCGCTTTTTTAGCTTTGGCGATTGGCTCCGCCCACCAATGGAATCTCCGCCCACTTTGGGAGCCCCGCCCACTTTCGAAAATGATGCGAATCGACGGGCTAGTGCCCGTACTCGTGGATTACGGCCTCTCCCGTCGCTCAGAACGAAGTTTCCCTTTTATTTCGCAATTTTTCCTTTTTTTTAATTCTGTGTGCTGGGAGAGGCCGTAGTCCGCCAGTACGGACACTAGCCCTCCGATTTTCATCATTTTCGAAAAGTGGGCGAGGCTCCCCCAAAGTGGGCGGAGCTTCCATCGGTGGGCGGAGCCAACCGCTAAGGCCTTAAAAAGCGAAAATCCGGAAGAAAAACCAAAATTCCGCGATAAACAGCGGGGTCAGGAGCCTGGTATGCTGTGCATGGTTATTCTTTTTGTGAAGATTAGATATGAAAAGAACTACGTCGAAAAAAGTTATAAAAATTCAGAACTTACGTAACTTCATTGTTAAGTGGGCGGAGTCAATCCTGTATAGGTATCAATCTTTTTTAGTCGAAGTGTGTGTGCAAGGGGCAAGAACGAAAAAAAAGTCGAGGGAGCAGATTTCATGAAGCATCTCGGAAAACCCTGTCCTCGCTGAGAAGTGGGCGGGGATAATGGGGCGGGGCTTGCGATACTACCTAGTGTGGTCTAGTTATCAACCAGTTAATTGTAAGGGGTGTGTCCGATTTGGTTTGAAAAGTGTCCGATTTGATTCGAAAAGTGTCCGATTTGGTTTGAAAAGTGTCCAATTTGATTTGAAAAGTGTCCGATTTGGTTTGAAAAGTGTCCGATTTGATTTGAAAAGTGTCCGATTTGGTTTGAAAAGTATCCGAATCGGTTTGAAAAGTGTCCGATTTGGTTTGAAAAGTGTCCGATTTAAAGTGAAAATGGTATATATCTGTCGATCCGACGTAACGGACGAAACCGACGAAAGCGACGTAACCGACGTAAGCGACGTAACCGACGACTACTTCACGAAGATTAGATACGTATCGATTATCGAAAACGACGAAACTGACGATTTCGGCGACTGTGCCAAGAATAGGCCCTTCGTAGATGGTTTTTCCCCCACAATTTTTTTCACATCAATTATTTATTTCCTTTTCTATTTGTAAACAAGTTCCCTTCTCCTTCCATCCTCTTGAATGACCTTACAACCGATCTTCTTCACTTTTCGAAAGAAATACCAAGACAATGGACATGTGGCTCAAGTGGAATCGATGTGGTTCTGTAGGATGGGTTCCGGGGCAGGTCCCTTTTTTTGCATTTGTCCAAGTCCCATTTCCCATAGTGCGACGCTACGCCGCCAGCGCGCCCTTAAGAAGAAAAACGGTAAAGAAAAATCTCCATAACTCCGCTGAGAAATTCGTTCTGCAAATTTTGAAGACAGTTCTGAGTCCACCGTCCCAAGTCACGTACAACGGTACGCAGCTCATTGGAAATGGCCGGGCTGACCTGATGACCTTTCCTGGTAAGCCAAGCCGGAAACTTCTCGACCCAAAGTGAGTACGAAGCCAAGATTGATACTGCGGGATTCTCTGGAGCACCTGGGAAACTTGGAAAAGTTGGCCGGCATTTTTGACGGGTGAAAGTCCAGGCGACAGTAAATACTGTAAGTACTGAACTGAGTGAATCACCACCTATTCTGAATTTTGTCGCACGAAGGCTTAATTGAATTTACCGTATCGCGATATACACGTGAATGACACAGCATATTGGTATGAAGGAAGTTCGGCGATTTTGAAAAAGAAAGAAAGAATAAAAATAGAGGAAATTTGGCGATCTCAAGAAAGAAATATAAAGCCAAGAGTATCGGAAACATCTCTGCTGCTGTTATTCACCAGATAGAGTTTCTATCAAGGCACACGTGGTTTCAGTTGGGCATTGCCATATACTCGATCGTATTTATCTTGTAGGTCGTACGGTTACGTCGGTTACGTCGCTTTCGTCACTTTCGTCGAAAACGTCGGTTTCGTAGTCGGATCGATAGGTAGTAATCTCCGTGAAGTAGTCGTCGGTTATGTCGCTTACGTCGGTTACGTCGGATCGATACGTATACCATCTTGCAAACTAGTCGTTACGTCGACGTTGACGACGCCGTCGCACGGTAACAACGCAGCCTCATATGTGATCGCACTTCAGGAAGAGGTGGGAGTGGCTCAGTTCAACTTGTAGCTCCCCTCTTGTACAGCTCCCATGACAGATCAGTTGTTCAAAGCAGTCAGAGACCTCTTCTCCTCTGATCATTATTGTCCTATCACTGGAGATTTTCTTGCTTGATATTGACCGGTCCGAACACATCAATATATGGCTATTTCATAATCATTCATTGAGCTTCGCAAGACGCATCTAGCACAGGTCACATAGCCTACATCGGGAGAGAACATCCTGGACTCAATTCTGGCCAGTACCGATGACTTGATTCATAGTTGACCGTCACTGATTATTCAAGAACTAGTAATCAGTCCTTAGAGACTAATCACTAATAGCGTTGTCTCTGACTTGATTCTGTTTGCTGTTGGTGAAAGACTGCTGCGAAACAATTTGAAAGCTGTCAATTATGAAGTCATCGCGAAATATCTTGCTGGTATCGATTAGTATAGTTCATTCAATTTTTCGCATTCTATTGATGAGACATACAAAACTCTCACTTCCTTCTGCACCGCTGTGTATCTATGTTTGTTTCATGACCCTTGTTTCATGGTATGATGTTCCCTTACCTCACTTGCGCTTGCCACCTAACATAAGCGTCCCTTCCTCAGGAGGACCTGGGCTTGAGCTGCAGTCACATGCAGTGACATTTCTGATCTTTATTTTGAAGTCAGTGCTTTGATTATGGTCGAAGTTAAAGTGGTCGTTCGTTGGAGCGTCGTGTTCGGAACTACAACAATCATGTTGAGAAGGATGCTATTGTGTAGCGAGATAAAAACGCGTTCTGTGAGCAATAAAGAGGCGCGATGGCTGTACACTCACAGTGACAGGATCGAGATCTTAGCCAATAATTTTGAGTACTCTTTTCTGATCGAAATTGAAGTGTACCAGAGATGTCCGAGTCCTTGTAACATTCTGTCTTTGATACTGCTCTAGCCAGCTTGTATTCACTTACATCAAATGAGTAACCGTTGCTTTTCTCAAGAGTGTAGCCCATGCTATCGCTGGATCTCTCCAGCATATTTTACCCTTCCTTGAGCAAAAGTCCTTCTGAATGAGAATGTTAAAAGGGTAGTCTGTGCCTTCGAAAGGGCTCTTCATCACTGTCCATATAACTGCCGTGAACTGAACTTTTATCCTCGGCTTAGTTTTTGCTCAAAGGAAAAATAATTTCATTTTGGAATATGCAAGAAGTTTCTGGGTGGTAGTAACCGAACCATTAATCCATCGATTCCGCGCAAGATAATAGCCAGATGCGTCACCATTATTGCGCCTTCGTGTTTCCTCAATGCCCGAAGCACGCCAGACAATCTGTTGGATACACTAATACTCTTTAATTACCTTCTGCAACACCCAACGAACATGGATAAGTCATGATCTTACACTTTGTTCGAATTTTCAGACTTCTCTTGATTGCTGTCAGTTCCTCATTTTCAGTGTTATAATATATCGTTATCCTAAATTACTTTCTCCCACACTTATAAACGGAACGGGAAAACATGGTTTGAAGCGCAACTCGTGAGCTCTATTCAACCACCATACTGTCACAATGCAGAAGTCAGTCGGCCGAGCTTTAGTGATACGCCCATCCATTTTCCAATGAGCAATGTGGCTTCGGGCATTTTAAGACAGCGTCCGCGATCAACCAAGTCTAAGAATCTTCTAGAGTACAAGATGGCGGAGCTTGTGGTGCACGACAGCTCAGCAACGATAAGCTTACTCCGCCTGTCAAGGCGGAGTCAACAATTTCTACCTTATTTTTTCATCACCGAGATTCGTGAGCGGTATGATTGCTAATCTTATCAAATATGACGTGGAGAATGAGCCGCAACCTGAGGAAGGCCATAGCGGGCGCTGTCTTTGAAGGCTGCGCCCGCATTCAAATTTGGCGAGCTGTGCGGCTTAAATACTTATAGCAAGGTGGCGAGTAACCCATTAAGGAGGAAAAATCACGTAAGCCACTATTTAAGAAAAATCAGGTATGGAAACCATAGGAAAGGCTCTATATAGAACCCCTGACCAGGGAGGTCGTTCAGGACGTGGCGCGCTTTTTGAAAACGGTTTTTTTGCATTATGTAGGGGCACCTTCATGGACTACCAAACTGACGATTTTTCCTGAATGAATCTTTGAATACCAAAAAAGGAGTGAAGAAGAATTGAATAGAGATCGATTGGTTTGAGCCCATCTGGGCTCCAAAACACTTCAACTTTGACCAGTTGCTGAGTAGAGGGTCCTTATAAAGGCACTGTAGGAATCGAGGAGAAAAATAGTCGCAAATGGGGTCTTACTTGCGCACGTGAATGAGAGGGAATGGCTCTAAGCGGCTTGGCGGAATGGTTTTTTCAAGGATCGGAGCGGTGTTCAGCTAGCCCAGTGTATAGCGTGGAAGATTGTCAATCGGTCAATAAGGGTGGGTGTTGATGGTTTGACTCCCCTAAGAGTGCGAGTTTTTGCATTTTTTTTTAGTTTCGCTACTCGCTTCCATAAATGTCTGTGCATGAGTAACATGGATATTTGCCATTCATGGGCAAATTCTTAACGGTAGTACCCTGTGAGTCGGTGTTAACTTCTATTACAATTTTCTCTTGCAATTAAGAAAGGCTACTACTGAAGATTGCTTTCTATGTGTATGTAATTGATATGATCATTAACATGGAACTTAATTTTAACTGTTTTAGCCATTTGTCTCCGATTTGGATCAATCTCCCACCGCATTCATTATGTACACCCATAAAAGGGACGTTTAGCACTACTCTGTGATTGCGTCAGCGCCAGAAATAAGTGTCAGAATACTGATCAGGACCATCGATAATCCCTATAGAAGAAGAATCGCTCAAAGTTTTCTCGACCTCATTGGGTGTGTGTATTGGATTGTGTACACGAGTCTTTCTATTAATCGTAATTCCGTGCTTTGCTGATTATTCACATACTACCCTTATTGATGATAAGAATAAACTATAATCGACGAGGATAACCCGTTGAAAAAGAAATATTTCAGTATTTCT